GATTTGAGGCACTGTCCTTGGTGCTCTCCCTGCGTCCATTGTACAGGTGGGCAAAGAGAGGCTCAGGAGGCTGAGTAGGGTGCTTCAGGGCAGTCACTGAGCATCTGACTTGGTCTGGCCAGCAGCTCAGTCTGTGTGCCCCCACATCGTGTGTGTGTGTCCACCCCGGCTCCCACACCCAGGAGCACCCCACCCCATACCTGTCCTCCCCACCTGAGCGGAGGCAGCGTGGTGGCGGTTTTGATGTGCATCTGTCTGCCTCCCAATCATTCTCTGCCTCCCCTGGCTGTGTGGCCCTGGGCAAGCTACTCATTTTGTCCTTTGTAAAATGAGGATGATTGTCCCTTCCTTACGGGACAGTTGCGAAGATTAAGCTACTTCCTACTTTAAAGTGCTTGGAACAGTCCCGAGCACCTGTGTGGCACCCAGTAAACACTGACTTGACATCTGAGTGTCTGCTCTTCCTCGACACACCGTGCCTGTGTGTGCTTGTCCCCATGCCAAGCATCTCAAGCATCTAGCATCTCCCACTGGACTCGCCACCGAGCCAGCTGGATCAGAGTTTGGGGACAGAATGGTGAGGGGGAGGACCTGTGTCCCTCATCCACGAGAGCAGGAGAAGCAGAAATAATCAGACAACACACCAGTGGGTGCGAACTCGCCAGCACTGCACCTGTTTGGAGAGAGGGGACCACAGTGCTCTGAGAGCATCCCCAGGGGATGACCTTCCCAACTCGAGGAGGTCAGCACTGGTTTCTGGGAAGAGTGATGACTCAGTTGAGGTCAGAGCGCTGCAGACAGAGGAAGCTGTCTGTGCAAAGGCCCTGTGCAGGGGGGCAAGATGAAGCTGAAGAGGCAGGCAGGGTACCCACACAGCCACCGAGTACGCCACACTGAGGACTTCGGTATTGTTCCTAATAGCCGTGAGGAGCTTTTGAAAGATTTGAGGTGGACACATGCAAGGACATGATCTGATTTGGCTGCTGTGAGGAATGTGGATTGGACAGCGTTTAGCTAAGGGCCCTGGGATGCTCGGGCAAGTGGTGGTGGGCTGGGCTGGGAGGGCTTCAGCAGCAGACTCCCTTGTGAAGGAGATGAGGAAGGGAGGCGTCAGGCCATCTCCTGGGTTCCCTGCTCTTTTGCTGTCTGGGTGGTGGGCACCCGCCGAGCTTGTCCCTGCAGGAGATGGGGAGTGTGGGGCCGTGTGGGCTGAACTGGGGCTGCCCTTCGGACATGGCAGGCTAGGTAGGCGGCAGGCCGTCAGGAAGTTCACTCCTCAGAGCCACCTAAACTGGGGAGTGTGACGCTATTGGTGGTGAGACCGTCTTCCTGGTCCTGCCTCTCCCCACCTCTCTGAAGGACCCTGGGTGCCCAGAAAAGCCTCACGTCAGGGCTCTTTTGGGCCGGGGTTTGAATCCTGCCCTTGGGCAAGTCACTAACCTCTCCAAGCCTAGTTTTCTTTTTTTAATCGTCTTTTTAATTGAAGTGTAGTCAGGTTACAATGTTGTATCAATTTCTGGTGAACAGCATCATGTTTCAGTCATACACATACAGACATATATTCCTTTTCATATTCTTTTTCGTTATAGGTTACTACAAGATATTGGATGTAGTTCCCTGTGCTGTACAGAAGAGATTTGTTTTTTATATAATTTTTTATATAGTGGTTAGTATCTGCAAATCTCCAGCTCAGTTTATCCCTCCACCCACCCCCTTCCCCGCCTAGTAACTGTAAGTTTATTTTCTATGTCTGTGAGTCTGTTTCTGTTTTGTAAATAAGTTCATTTGTGTCTTTTTGTTTAGATATAAGTGATGTCACATGGTATTTTTCTTTCTCTTTCTGGCTTCACTTAGAATGACCATCTCCGTGTTGCTGCAAAGCCTAGTTTTCTTACCTGCACAGCTGGCTTTGCCTCTCGGAGGACAGTGGTAGCTGTTACTGCAACAGTGAGTCTAAATGTCACTAAGTGGTGGCTGTCACTGGGTTAGGAGTCGCTCCAGAATTCAGAAGCAGGCACTTATCCAAATACCACCCCAGAGGGACACACAGCGTCCCTGACAGGCCAGGAGGTGTCTGTCGTCTCCTGGGGTGCTTGTTCGGATGGCTGGTTGCGTTTGCAGCACAGCCCAGGCGCAGGCTGGGGAGTGGCCCTGTCCCGCCGGGCCCTGTGAGGCAGGTCGCGGTCGGGCTCCCTTGGGCCTCGAGACTTGTGAGCTGGGATCTTTCCTGCCACAGGAGAAAGGTGGCATTGTCTGAGTAGGTCACCTGCTGGCCTGGATGCCAGCCGTGCTCCCAGGCCCCTCTGTGGAGCAGAGTGAGCCAGTGTCCCGCAAAGCATCTGCAGAGCACCATGTGTATACCCACCATTGCCCTGTTTGCTAAAAGATCTAAAAGCCCCAGTCCTCCGAACCCAACAAAATAAACATACAGTGAAAAACAAACACTAGCTGACACAAATGTTCAAAGAAAAGAATATTCTGAGTACTCAACTTTTTCTTCCAACTGGTAGCTTTCCTACAAATGCTTGACCCTTCTTGTTGAAAACAGTATGTGGTTAAACAAGAGCTACAATTGTAGGGCACTTCAGACTGCCCAGGTCACCTCAGCGTCTGCCATCCCATTGGATCACGATGTCATCCCCTGGTGCCGGCGGGGGCCCATTTTTATACTCAGGTCGTTGATGGAGATTCTGAGTCTTGCACAGGTTAAGCCGTGCACTGGCTTGTACGTGCACACACAGGGTCCCAGCCCAAGGTGCCCTGTATGCACCCTTATTCCACCTCTCTGCCCCAGGCCCTGGTCCAGCCTAGGTCTCTGTCCTTGTACCCAGACTCCCTCATCCAGAGATGAGGGATTAGGAGAGAAAACCCCAGAATCCCTTTCCCGCCCGAGGATTCTGGGGCCTCCTCTGTCCTCCTCCACAGCCTCAGAGAGGTGTTTCTCCCGGTGGCCCAGCAGTAAAAGGGCTTCCCGGATTTGTCAGCCATAGTTGGAGGGTTGGCAAGGGCCGGGCGTGGTCGCTCCCGGGCGTGAGGCAGTGTGGCAGAGGCTCAGCTGGGACTTCTTCAGTTGGTGGCTGTGGCTTTTCTAGGGAGCCGGTTGGTACTGGGGATGCTCAGAGATTCACAGGCGATCACCCCTGCCCTCAGTGCTCCTGTAGCTATGGAAACAAGTCTCTGACCCACTGACCCTGCAGCCAGGACAGCCTGCGTCTCCCTGGAGGAGGAGGACCTACGGGGTCTGAGCAGGTCTGAGAGGCAGAAAGGAAGAACTCAGGCATCGCAAGTCCAGGAATAGCCAGTCACAGGCATGAAGTCAGCTGGGCCTGGCCGTGTGCAGCAGAGGCTGCTACAGCTGTTGACAGGCAGCCCTTCCAGCCCAACTCACCTGGACACCATGCAAGGGAGGATGGGTGAGCAGGGGGCCCAGGAAGAGGTTCTTCCAGGCAGGTATCCAGAGATTCAGGGGCGCAGTAAGGCCCCTGCTTGTTCTGCACATCACCTGATTTACCCTTCAGCACAGCCCTGGAGGTTGGCACTAGCAGACCCTTTACGATGAGGAAACGGGCTCAGGGAAGGTCTGGACAGGGTGGAAACTTCGGCATGTGAAGAGTTGCCCAGTGATATTATCAGACTGTTTCTAGACCACTGTTTGTCCAGAGGTCACACAGAGGCCACTGTTTGACCCAGAACCCTGATTGGTGGAGGGGGGCTGTAAGGAGCAACCTGGAGCCCTGGCAGGAGAGCCTGTGGCCGAGGGGTGCAGGGAGCCCGGTCTAGGGCAGGCCCTCCTACCTTTCCATAGTTATGTATATATGATGGGGGAAGGGAGAGCATATCCAAGGCAGTCAGATTGGTCGGGGGGAGGTGCATGCATGTGTGTTGAAGGCAACAGTTTCCTCGAGGCTCAAGCAACTCCAGAACTGAAGGACCTCGGTGTTGGAGAGCCATCTGCGTATGGCCAGGCTGCCTTTCCCTGCCACTCCCAGCATCCTCCCCACCCCATCGACAGCCTCACCAGGCGGCCCTGGAGAACCAGCCAAAGGCCCAGGCATCATGCCAAGAGTCTCGGGACAGCCATCCAGGCCTCTGCTTGGCAATTGCCCAACCAAGGGGCATTTTAAAGCAATCCTGGTTACAACATGTCCTGGGAGCACAGGCGTCCTTTAACCCCCCTTCCTATGGCAAAGTCACCCGATGGAATATCCGACAGCAATAAAAAAGGAGGCAGTTACTGCCACACACAACAGCGTGGAGAAATCTCATCCATCCACAAGCTGATACTGTTGTATGAAAGAGGTTGGATAAGAAAGAGCACTTAGAGGGAGGGTACAGCTCAGTGGTAGAGCACATGCTTAGCATGCATGAAGTCCTGGGTTCAATCCCCAGTACCTCCAGTTAAAAAAAAAAATTAAATAAGCCTAATTATCTACACACACTCCCCAAGAAAAGAAAGCATTTATAATTCCATTTACATAATAAGCAAATACTCAAAACAGGCAACTGTTTTGAGTGTCGGAAGCTAGGATAGTAGCTGCCATAGTGGGCCCAAAGGGGCAGAGGGGCTGCTGGGCGCTATCTGTGCCTGCTTCTTAGCCTGGTGCTGGCTTTGCACTTTGTGAGAGGCCACCAAGCCATTCGCTTACGGCCTGTAGCTTGGCTGCCTTAAGCGTTGCTGGATCCAGTCCTGGTCTCTGCATACCTACGAGGAAAGGCGCTAATACATGTTCAGTGCTCTTGCTCCGCCACTGAAGCACCTGACCTGTGCTTTGCAAATCCGCACCACACCAGGTATGGGTCAGTCCCATTGTACAGATGAGCAAACTAAGGCCGAGAGAGGCTAAGAGCCCCCAGCTGGAAAGTGACGGCAGAGCTACAGTTCCCATCAGACCGTACTCCCAGGCTTTTCCTGTCCCCACCCCACCAAGTCTCCCTCTCCCAGCGTGTCCCCATCTCCGAACAGGGTAACGCTGACCTGTTTTGGCTTGGCTTTCCTGCAGTGTCACGTTTCTCCAGCCCCCGGGTGACACCCCGCCTGAGCCGCAAGCGGGCGCTGTCCATCTCCCCGCTCTCGGACGCCAGCCTCGACCTGCAGCGCATGATCCGAACCTCGCCCAACTCGCTGGTGGCCTACATCAACAACTCGCGCAGCAGCTCGGCCGCCAGCGGCTCCTACGGGCACCTGTCGGCCGGTGCCCTCAGGTGAGCCAGGCCTGCAAGTTGGGGGCAGGGGGTACCGAGAATGGACTCTGGGCTGGGGTCCAGCGGGGAGGGTCTGCGCTGGCAACCAGGGGAGAAACAGGACTTGTTGTACTTGTAAACATCAGCCTACTTGTGACCATTTCGTGAATTCACACCCAGTAGTGATGACATTGGAATGCGCCAGCACTGGAGTATGTCTTCATGTGCCCGTTACTCATTCATCCACCAAATGATTTCTGATGTGATAAGTCACCCTTACCAGCCCTGTCCTGAAAGACTCCATCCTGAAATCAAAGGCCACTTTCCTCATATTTCAGCAAGTGTCACTGACAAGCACTGGGGCCACTAGAGAGGTGACACTGACTTAGGCCTGAATGTCTCTGGGCTGGCAGAGGCCTCCCACCTTGGTCACTGCACAGCACACCCAAAGCTCATCAACACCGTCCACCTTGTCCCCTCCGTGCAGCCCTTGATTGTGCAAAGGACGCAGAGCCCAACCAACTTGACCGGAACTCCGCCTTCCCTTGGCCCTCCTGAGATAGGCCGGGAGGGGACCACTCAGCTCTAGGGCCCGGAGACAAGAAGTTACCTTTTATCTCTGTTATCTTTTGCTACATAACAAGTGACTCCAGAACTTGCAGTTTAAAACGGCAGTCAGCGCATTCTATCTCCCGCCATCTCTGAGGGCTGGGAACGTGAGACTGGCTTAGCGGCGGGTCTCTCAGAGGCTGCCATCGAGATGTTGGCCAGGGCTGTGGTCACCTGAAGACGTGGCTGGACCTGGGCATCTATTTCCAGAACGGCGCACCCGCAGGGCCGTGGGCACAAGCTTTAGTTTCTCTTCACGGGAGCCTCTCTACTCAGCTTCTTGAGCGTTGTCACAGCTTGGCAGCCGCTCTTCCCGCCCCGCGCCTAGAGGGAGTGAGCGGAGAGAGAGCAAGGAGGAAGCCAAGGAGGACATCTTCAGAGAGCACCTTTTTGCCTCAGATCCCTCAGATCTGGAAAGAGTGGCTCATCTACGGGTGGCTTGATTGAACTCAGAAGTGCAAGAGGAGTTAAAGAAGAGAGAGGAGAGTGTGAGCTGGAGGGCTCGGGGCACACTTCCTAAATGGGGTGGGGGGGCATTAAAACGGGCTTCAGAGGGGGAGCCGTGATGCCAGGGTGTACTCAGGCATCAGAACAAGGAAAGGCCAGGATATGGGACTGAGATGGAGTCTGGCATGTCCTGGGGACCAACCTACCAGGGGCAAAGGCTGTATCCTGGGGTAGGGCCTGGGGACTCAGCCCAGAAGGTGACACCTGAGATGGCAGGCAGTGGGGAGCCACAGCTGGTGCTTGAGTGAGGTAAAGCCACGATGATGGTGGAATCGGCAATATGCCCATCCTTATCCCCGGGCAGGGCCCTGTCTGCCCAAGAAGCATTAGCCTAACAGAGCCCTGCCCTCACCCCTACCCGCACCTCCACTCCATTACCTTGTCTGCTATTCTTTGCAGCCCAGCCTTCACCTTCCCCCACCCCATCAACCCCGTGGCCTACCAGCAGATCCTGAGCCAGCAGAGGGGCCTGGGCTCCGCTTTTGGACACACACCACCCCTGATCCAGCCCTCACCCACCTTCCTGGCCCAGCAGCCCATGGCCCTCGCCTCCATCAATGCCATGCCCACCCAGCTCAGTAGCAACAGCAACTGTCTGAGCGATGCCAACCAGGTAGGTGGGTGCAGGGAGCAGTGGGTGGGCCACCAGATACGCATCTGGGCCCAGTGAAGGCCGATCATTGCCATCTCATGCCAGAAACTTGTGGCAGGAATCTGGGCACAAATCTAGCTGGTTGGGGTGCCTCTGGGCAGAGGCCATGTAAAGGACTTTGGGCTGGATGCCAGGTCAGGAGACCTGGGCTGGGTCCTAACACCACTCTCACTGTGGGCAAGTGCCCATTGTCACCTTTCCAATAAACGTAATGAGTAGATGGAGAAACCCCAAAATTCACAGCCCTCTTCCAGAATGACCTCCCTCACCATCCCAGGGCTCCAAGCGGACACCTAGCACCTGCCCCTAGACTGTGGCTGTTGGCTTTTGTCACACCACCTGATGCCACAGCTCTAACCCTCTTGTCCTGAGGAACCAGGCCTGTTCTCCTGCTCTCTGAGCTGGCCCGGCCCTGTTGTCCTCAGACCCAGAGCCACCCCTGTCCCGGAGAGCTGAGAAGTTGAGGCCACTGGGTCAGGAGTGAGGGTCCCCAGCATTCCTCCAAGAGAGGATCTCTGTTCCATTCCCGTGGAGGTGGGGGCTGCATGGCGGGGAAGAGATGCTGATAAGCCCAGCCCCGGGCTCTCTCCTGGCCTTGCCCCTGGACCAAGCTGGAAGGACTCAGTTTCCTAAACTGCGAACACCAGTGCTGGCCCAGACGGTCTCTGTGGGGAGGATCCCAGAGGTCAAGCCCAAACACAATTTGGGGTATCTTCACCTGCCCTCGTGTGATGGGCTCTCCTGTGCTTCCCTCTCCCACAGCAGAGCAGTGAGTCAGCCGTGAGCAGCACTGTCAACCCCATCGTCATTCACAAGCGCAGCAAGGTCAAGACGGAGGCTGAGGGCTTGCGGCCAGCCTCCCCGTTGACCCTGACACAGGTAACCTGCTGGCCGTCCTCGTGGTCCTCAGCCTGGAGTCAGCTGACTTGAGGCTGTGACTCAAGTAGTGACCAATGGCTCCCTGCATGAATGAGTGACTGAGGGAACCAGAGAGAGCAGGGTGAACACACAGTGAGCTCTGAGGACCCCCCCTTATACCAGACGTTCATCAAACACCTGCTGAATAAAATAATACAGGAAAGAAAGAATGTGTGGGTTGCAACCATCTCTCCCTCCTGAACCTCACCCTCACGCAGCCCGAACCACAGGCAAACTGAGTTGCTCGCATCCCCTGAATGGCTCAGGCTCCTGTCAAGTGCTCACTCTCCCTGGAGCTCCATGCCCCACCCCAGTGTCTGGGTCGCTCCATCTGTCTCCAGGACTGCACAGCAAGCTTTGGAAAGGTGGCACTTTGGGAGAGGTACCTGATTTGGCCCTACGTCCCCAGGGTTTGTACAGGGCCTGGTGCTTGGTAGCTGTAAGATAGTATTTGCTAATGACTCAGGGCACATTTGAGGGAGGCAGTGTCTCAGTGCTTGGGAGGGAAGGGGGGACAATTCCTGGCTGGAAGCTGAGGATCAGAACAGCCCATGGCTCAGAACGAGTCTGTTGCGGGGCTGAGACCCTTTTGCAGGTCTCTCTGGAGATCCTGCCACTTATTCCAACACTCCAAGCCAGCAGGCAGACACATAGTCCCAATTCTTAAAGCAGAGGCCTGTCGTGGGAAGGGGGCAGGGTGTGTGCTGACCTCTGGGGCAGGCCTCTCACGGTGGCCTGATCTCCATCTGTGACTACAGAATCACCAGCTATGACACCAAGGGTCCTTGGGGCCTCTTGTCCCCATCTCCTCGTCTGCTGGACCATCCTTTATCAAACCTATAAACCGTTGGGTATGCTCTGGGCGCTTAATTTTCATGAAATACTGGGTTCTGTTATTGTCAGGCAAACACAGGGGTTAGTGACAAATTCTCCCCCTACTGACACCCAAACATCTCCGCATGATGCATGATTGCCACGCGGCCGGCCATCATCGGGGGCCATTGAAATTGATGAGGCCAGCGCACATCCAGGGGAGATAAGCCTGCTGGAGCAGCGAGGACAGGGCTAAGGGGCGCTGAACACCTGGGAGCCCCCTGCCCCGCCCCCTCAACTCAGTGGGCAGGTAGAAGGGGGCTGCTGCACAGAGTCCTCCTTCCTGCCCGGCTTGGCTCCCTGTCAGTGGAAAGTCTTTTATCACGAGGAGGTTGTCACTGTGTCACTCAGTGTCCTGATTCAGTGATTTGACTCCCTTGCTCCCTGACTCCTTTGCAAAGTGGAAGGGCTTGCCTTCTCTTGACAGGAAATGCCACATAATGAATCCCCTCTCTGCTTAAGCCCTCACACTTGGGGGTGAGGATGCTACTCCCCTGGATCCGGAGGCCCAGGCACACCCACTGCGCCTGCGCCGTCCTCCGCCCGCAGCTTCTTCACGTCTTCTCCGAAATAAGCAGGGCGTGCAGTTTGTGGAATCTGTTTCTGGTTTTTCTGCAAGTGCAGAGAGGCCATTAGGAGGTCCCTACCCCACAGCCCTCCCGTTGCTAAAGATCTGGGGCAGAGGTGTTCCTGCCCCTCCTTTTCATGTGTACCGGTGCTGCCCGAGGACTTAACTGCACAGCGTGTCATTGTTTGCCTGTCCAGAACTCGCACGTTCATCGAAAGGTACTCTGAGAAGCAACCAGAACCCGGCCCCCGGAGGAGCCCTTTGCAGCTCCAGTGGAAAGCCGGCCAGGGGTGTGAATCTGTGCTGGCCGCGGGGAGTCATGAGGCCGGTTTCTGTGCTCCTTGAAACAGACTCAGCCCTGGGAGGGGGGAGGCTGATGTAAGAGCTGCGGCCCCTGTTCCTTCGAGTCTCAGGAGTCTGCGGGGCGGGGCTCCTAACACCGGGGAGGGGTGACCCCCTTAGCCTGAGCTATACATGCTTTCCCCGGAGACGCTTTTGAAAGAAAGAACATTCCTGCCATTTTGGAAATAGTTTGAAAGTAAAGCAAGTCGCTGTAACATCTGCCTCTTTGCCTGACTTTGCTCCAAGCCTGCCCAGGGGGACACTGGGGGGTCCTTGATGTATTCTGGAGGTCCTTGCTGGGCCTTCCTCCCAGCCTGCTTGTCTGTCCCTCTCCCCCTTGCCCCACTCCTGGTACCACCCAGCCTGTCCCATGCTTGGAGGCTGCCCTGGCCAGCTGTGTGTTAGCATCTGCTGGGGTGGGGCAGTCCTGTGGAGTTTACTCTCAGACCGTTGCTGGTTTGATAGTAAAAACCCTTGTCCTCTTTGAAAAGAATTTTGGGGGCCTGTGATCAGTGGAAGGCCCATCTCAGGGGCCTTTCCTAAGAAAGGCACCAATTGGCCCCATCGTGGCTGGGAGACGTGAGTCCAGATCTAGGTGGCCACAAACTCCCTGAGTTCTGGAGGGAGCCAGTCAGCCTCTCCTGGAATGTCAGTTTGCCCAGCTGTGATACAGTAATACAAACGCCCACATTTTAGGGCTGTCACAGGGAAGACTGATGCTGGGAGAGTATGCCGAGTGCCTTCACTCCACAGAGTGATTTGCAGTCCTAGGCACTGTCCCGGGTGTGAACAATCCAGGCGCGCGTGTGCCCCTGGGAGGAGGGGACAATGCAGGGATAAGGTCAGGCCGACGCTGTTTTCTCCTGCCTCCAAGCAGGAGTAGACCCTATCCACACTATAAATAAAAATACCCCACCCTTGAGCCTGGGGGGCCCGCCCCGGCTCTCCCCAGAAGAAACCAACCCAGATAAGCGAAAGTTACCGGGGGCTCCTTTCTCCTGTTCTCCTTGCCATGTCTGTTGACCCAGGATGTTACAAGACACCTGGGTGATGACAAGCCAGTGTTAGAGAGGAGGGAGGGGCACCAGGATAGCCATGTGACCGGAAGAGCACTGGGCGGGAACCGGCTGAGGAGAGAACTCACGAGGGCGTATGTGTGTGCGTGCTTGTGTGTGCACGCGTGCACAAGTATGTGTGCATGTGCATGTCCACACGTAGACCAGTGCATGGTCCTTGGCATAGAGTTCATGGGGCTGATAGTGACCTTTCCTCAGGCCAGGTGGCTAGACATGGCTCACGTGGATGTGCTCTGCCCCCTCCAGGAGCAGCTGGCTGACCTCAAGGAAGACCTGGACAGAGACGACTGTAAGCAGGAGGCCGAGGTGGTCATCTACGAGACCAATTGCCACTGGGAAGACTGCACTAAGGAGTATGACACCCAGGAGCAGCTGGTGCATGTAAGCCTCGGAGAAGCAGGGCCTGCCCGCTGGGGGCGGAGCCCCGGCCGTACGGAGTCTTGAGCCTTCCAGGCTCTCTGCTAGAGAGAAGGGGCTGGAGCAAGAGGCTCCAGGAGATGGCTGGGCCATATCCTGTGCAAGTAGGAGGCAGGATTATTTATCTATGCCCTATTTGTTTCTAAAAGGGGGCTTAGAAATACATTTGTAGTACAAGAGATTAAAAATAATACGTAAATTAGAAAATTAGAAGAAAAGGAAAAATAAAATAAAGCCAAGAGTGAAGTTAGTATTAAAAACCAAGTGCTCTGAGCTATAGTTCACATATAAACCTTTTTTTCCACCTGAGCTTCCTAGCATCCAATGCAAAGAGGGAAATAAGTTTACATAAGTCAGCCAGCATCCACAAGATAATAACAAACCTGAGCCTGAAACCTGAAAGAGGTTTCTCCCCTGGAGGAAGGAGTTGGTAATTTGCTCTTGGAGACCATTCACACATACCCAGTGTACACAGGTGAATTTGGGTGTTTACACTTAAATCAAGGAGAGGGCTGCTTTAAAATGCCTGGGTACTGACAGATCAGGAGACCCGACAAGGTCATGGGAGCTGGGTATGCCCTTCAGGGTGTGCCTCTAAACCTTCTACACCAGCAGCCACTATAGCAGCAGCTGGATCACTTCTGCAGTGGGAAAAGCAGGAACAGGGGCTCAAGGTTGGAGGCGCCTGGCTTCAAATCTGGCTCCACCACAGCTAGCCAAGTGGCTCTGAACAAGTGACTTAACCCCTGTGAGCCTCCATTTTTCTATCCTGTAAAGGGAAGTGAAGCCCACCTCGTATAGGGGGGTGAAGGTTGAACGTAATACCAGCATAAGCACTGAGCAGAGAGCAACACTTCATACACAGGAGCTCCTCCTGCCTCCTCCTCCCCGTCCCCCAAGCCAGCCTTGAGGATTCCTTTCTCTATCTGGAAAAGAACTTCAATTCAAGGACAAGCCCCCCCGCCCAACCCCAACACACATTCCTTGGTGAGTGAGTGTCTATAAAGATGAACCCACACTAAGCTAGCAGGTCAGTTGCTTGGTACAGTAGGGACACACACGCATGTGTGCGCATGCTGTTCACATCCAGAAGTCATCCCAAAGGGGTCTCCTTCTCCGAAGCTCTGTGAAATCAACATTTAAGACACCGCCCACTCCCCCTGCTTCCAGTCATGCCGCTTGCTCTCAAATACCATAGGTTTCTTTTGCACTGGGGTTTTCCTCCCTAAATTCTCACCCTAGACTAGAATTCTCCACAAACCCATAACCACTGACATAGGACCTGTAAAGCAGGGTCTTATCTAATCCCTCTGGAACTCGAACATAATTTTTCAGCCTGTACCACCTCTTTGGGTAAACAAGTCTGAGCTGGAGTAGGGACCACTGGAGCTGAGTTGTAAAATAAATCAGATTAGATTAAAAGAGAAGAAAGAGAACAGCATCCTGGCCAGGAGAGGTTGGAGGGGAGGACGGAAAAGATGTGTTTAGCGGGGAGTGGGTTGGCCCCAGAGCACAGGGAGGGAGTTCCTCAGATAAAGACAGAGAGCTCCGGACGTGGTAAGAAGGGCTCCAGCTGAGCCCAGGGCTGTCCCTGTGGCTGTAGGTGACCACCTCCGCCTGGCCCTGAAAGGAGCAGGCTCCTGTGAGAGGGAAGCCAGGCTGCTCTGCCCAGTCTCTCTGCTCCCTGGGAAGATAGATGGCGCAGCCGCACACGCGAGCGGGAGCCCCCAGTCAATTATTAACAATTTGTTGCTAAGTAAACCAATAAGAAAAAATGAAGGGCATTGTCAGGAAGCATTTTTATCATTTGAAAAGCTTTCAAAATGGAAAGTGAGGCTAATATGATAAGATTTCCCTGGAAGTTCAAAGTGCTGTAGATTTTGCTTGCTCTGCTGTCGGCATTTGTATGCACGGCAGTGTGGCCTGTTACCCAGAGCCTGAGGGCCCAGCAGTTTTCTGTCTTGCAGGGTGAGGGGCTGCTAGTGCCTAGATGCTCAGCTCTGGGACAGCCTTGTAGGTTGCAAAAATCTACAGCAGCGCTGTCCAGGAGAAAGGCATCACGAGCCACAGATGCCAGCCATGCATGTACTGTTATGCTAGTTAGAAAAACATTTGAAAAAGAGTAAAAGGAAACAGGTGAAATTAATGTAACGTTAATCGTATTTTGTTTAACCCAATATATCTAAAATACTGTATTTTTTTCTTTTTGGATGGATTTCTTTATGTTTCGGTTTTTGGTTTTGAGGGGTAATTAGATTTATTTATTTACTTATTTTAATGGAGGTCCTGGGGATTGAACCCAGGACCTCGTGTATGCTAAGCACACTCTACCACAGAGCTATACCCTCCCTGGCTAAAATATCATTTCTACATGCCATCAGTGTAAAAGAAAATTACTGAGATTTTTTTGCATCCTTTTTTCTTTCATTCTCAGTCTTTTGAAACAGGTGTGTGGTTTACACTCGCAGCCCATCCTGGTTGGGACCAGCCACGTTTCAGGGGCTCAAGAGCCACAAGTGGAGAAAGGCCACTATATGGGACAGTGCGGGTCCAGAGGTTGTAGGAGGAAGTGAAAGCTGGGGGAGGGAGCTCAGGACTGAGAGGAGAAAGAGGATGGGGCTGGAGCAGGGCAGAGAACAGTACCTCAGAGACCTGACTGCCACCCTCCCAGCTCCTGTGGACCCGAGCTCCAAGCAGGACATGGATGAGCTCTTGGTGGGGCCCGAAGAGGCTCCCTGCTGACCTTTAGAGAGAAGCCCCAGTGGGAGGGGACGAGTATACTTCACTCAGCTGAGTGACTGACTCACGCTACCTGTTCCTACTGCCCAGTTAAATAAGCAACTCAAAAGATTAAGACGTAAAAGTCCTGGGGGCCCTACACGCATCTCAACACAACCCAAGCTCAGAAGCAGTAATACCTCTGCTCCAGGGAGGGCTGCATCCTTTGGTTAAATAATCAAAGCAACTGAAAACCGAACATTCTACTCAAGGCAGTGTGCTCTGTTACCCAGGATAGAAAACATGGGTGGCCCATGGCTCCCCATCACAGAGGGGACTGCCCCAGGGGGCACACAGGTGATGGGCCCAGGGCAGAGGCCAGAAGGCCTGGGTGTGGAGACAGAAAAAGAGAAAAGTTAGCCCCGTGTTCCTGGCCCAGGACAGCGCTGGCCGCAGTGGGTCGGAGGACCAGTCGTCCAGGGCAGGCTTACTGCCAGTGCACTTCCCAGCTGTGCCCAAGATGTCCCTGCCTGCACGGAGGAGCAGAGCCCCCACTGCCAGGACAGGATCAGTCCAATGTCTCTGGCTGTCCCACCTTGCTCTCCTGGGCCATTCTGGCCCAGGCCCAGCATCCCACAGTGCACAGTGTCAGGGTCAGACTCCAGTTCCATCCTGGGCAGGCCACTCGAGCAATCTGGGCTTTTGTGAAAAGGGGACCCATCTCATGGGACACTGTCAGAAACAGAGACGAGGATGCCTTCACATTTCTGTTATAATGAAAATGGTGTTTAAACATTTCTGGAGCAGTAAAGGGGCAAGCTTGGGAGAGGCTTCTCATACACCCACCGTGTGCATGTGTGCCTCACTGCAGTTAATGAGTGCCTACTGTTTGCAGCCTGGAAGCATCAGCATAATCACCGATGTCCCACAGACCAGAGCCTGGAGCCCAGATGGAGATGAGCGGGTTGGCTCTGACCATAACAGATGGTCACATTGGTGGCTAACTGGAAAATGCAGGGGAGACAAGTAGCACACAGTAGACCTGCATGTCGGGATAGCTCGTGAGGAGGCCTGGGCTGACACGTGGATGCTGGTCTGTGCGGTGGTGTCTGCACACACCAGGTCAGGTCTGGAGGGGTGGTTGGCCGGGCTCACCCCTCTCCGTGGGCCTCTTCCCGGCAGCACATCAACAATGAACACATCCATGGGGAGAAGAAGGAATTTGTGTGCCGCTGGCAGGCCTGCACGCGGGAGCAGAAGCCCTTCAAGGCGCAGTACATGCTGGTGGTGCACATGCGCCGGCACACGGGCGAGAAACCCCACAAGTGCACGGTGAGTGGTCCTGGGGCCCCGCCCCTCCTCACGGCCGCGTCTGTATTGCCAGCCCGTCAGCCAAGTGATGTGCATCACGTTGGATGCAGCTGACCACGGGCAAACCTGGTGGAACAGCCATGGGGACAGGTCTTGCCGATGGGTCATCCTGTCTGCTCTGTCTCGGGTCCTGGAGGCCCCTCTTCTGTCTGCTGCCCCAGACCGTCCACGTAGTCTCCCTCAAGCGTGTTCATCTTGATAACTGTGCTGTGCTGGGATCTCTGTGGTTGTATCTGCATGACCAGGAGCCCCAAAGCATAGTTGTACCTTGACTCAGCTGGGTGACCCTGGGCAGAGGGCCTGGCTTGGTAGCACCCTGCAGTCTGTCCCCTGCACAGAGAGGAATTTCACTGGTGACCCATCGATTGAGCAATGATGGGTTAAACTCACTTTGGTTGAGTTTCTTAAGAAAAACTTAACTCAAAGATAAGACCTTTTAGACAATCTCCCTTAGGAGTCAGCAGGCTTTTCGACTTTATTTGGTGAGACCGCTTTAAAATTATTCATTCTTTCATTCTTTCTTTCTTTTATTTATTTACTTATTTATTTTTATTTATTGTGAAACCTTTTTTTAAACACACAGAAACCGCTCCCTCTTTCAAAGGAGAGATGATCCTGTGATGCACTGTTGTGGCTGTGACAGAGGCCTCTGGGCACTTCTTTTTGTGAATGACCAGTATTTCACTGATTCTGAGACAAACATTTTGTTCTCACTTTATGTCTCCGAAATCAGTCAGTCTTCAATTTAATCAGTGGTGTCCAGGACTCAATAAATATACCCCCTTTTTTGGCAAGGCTTTTTTTTTTTTAACTGAGATAAAATTCACATACCATGAAGTTCACCCTTTTCCAAAAAGGGTGACTTTGAGTGTATTCACAAAGCTGTGCAACCTTCACCCCTAGCTAATTTGAGAATATTTTCATCCCGCCAAAAAGAAACCCTGTCCCCAAAAGCAATCACTCCCCTTTCTTTCCTTCCCTGCATCCCCTGACCACCACTACCCTGCTTTTTGTCTCTAGGAATTTGCCTGTTCTTGACAGTTCATAAAGATGGAATCATACCATGTTGTAGCCTTTGTGTCTGGCTCCCTTCACTTAGCATGTTTTCAAGGTTCATCCATGTTGTAGCGCGGATAAGGACTTCGTTTCTTTGTATGGCTCAATAATTTTCCACTCTGGACAGATCACATTTTTTTAATCTATTCATCAGTTGGTGGCTATTGGCATTTTTTTACTTTTTGACTACTGTGAATAATGTTGCTATGAACATTCATGAACCAGTTTCGTATGGATATATGTTTTCAGTTCTTTTACTTATATATCTAGGAGTGGAATTGGTCGGCGTATAGTAAATCTATTTTCGACTTTTTAAGGACCTGCTAGACTGTTTTCCAAGAAGGCTACATCACTTTACGTGACCACCAGCTATGTGTGTGGGTTCTGATTTCTCCACATCCTCACCACCACACCTTGTTACCTGCCTTTTGACTATTACCTTGTCATCCTAGTGTGTGTGGGTCTGCATCTCATTGTGGTTTTGATGAGCATTTCCCTAGTGACTGATGACGTCAAGCATCCTTTCACGTGCTCATTGGCTATTTGTATATCTTCTTTGGAGAAATGTCTACTCAAATATTTTGCCCATTTTTAAATTGAATTATTTGTCTTTCTGTTGTTGAATTGTAGCAGTTTTACTAGACCCTGACTGGATATGGTTTACACATGTTTTCTCCCATTCTGTAGGTTTTCTTTTCATTTTCTTCATAGTTCCTTTGTAGCATAAAAGTTTTTTAATTTTTCACAATGTCTCGTTTTTTAATTGCTTGTGCTTTCAGTGTCATATCTAAGAAAAAGCTGCCTAATCTAAGGTCACAAAGATTCACCCCTTTGTTTCCTTCTGTGAGCTTTACAGTTGATAGATACATCATTTTATTTCTATAAGTATATAAATATATATTTTTTTAATAAGATAGCATCTTCCATTTAGGTCTTTAGTCCATTTTAAGTTAATTTTTGTGTATGGTGTACAGTAAGGGTCCAATTTCATTCTCTCACATGTGTTATGCAGTTGTCCCCATCCCATTTGTTGAAGAGACTATTTTTCCCCATTGAATGGACTTGGACCCTTATTGAAAACCAACTGAGTTTATTTCTGAACTCTCTTCCATTAGCCATATGAATTTTGGTGTGTTTCAGAGGCCACCTGTTGATTCCTATATTTCTGGACTCTCAGTTCTCTTCCCTTGATCACTATGTGTGCCCTGACGTCAATACCACACACGGTCTTGATGACTGTAGTATTGTAGTGAGTTTTGAAACTGGAGACTGTCAGTGCTCCAAATTTGTCCCCCTTTTGTAAGATTGTTTTGGCTTTTCTGGGTCCTTTGCAGCAAGTTATTTTCTTAACATCCTGAGTGCTAGCCAACTAGAGCCCTCTGATATGAGCTGTAAGTTCAAGAAACAGATAAAAGGCATTGGAGCTAAGTGTGCTCGGTCAGATTTGTCAGGAATAAGGGGAGGATGTGAAAAATGAGATGGTTCTTGCTGGGGCTGACATGCCATTCTGGGGCCAGTTTTCACAGCTACACTGGATGCAATTTCAGTATCTTTGGAATAGGCCCCTCCTGCAATGGTCCTCCCTCCCTCCCTCCCTGCCACTCGCTCTTGCTCACTCTTTTCTTCCTTTCCTAAAATGTTTCTTGAGTGCCCCCAGTTTTCTTTTCATCAGGCACTAAGTACTGGGAACACAAATGAATAAAGCCTAGAAGGTCCACGCTCTCACGGAACTTGTATCCTAGTGGAAGGGCTGGACAACAAAATGGTTAAGATAATTCTAAATTGTGTTAGGGAGTGTAAAGGGAAAAGGGTAGTATTATAATGAAGAATATCAGAGAATTGCTTTCAAAGGAGATGGCCTACAAGGAGGGGGCCAGGCCAGGGCCAGAGGAGTGGGGGCAGGGGAAGGGTTCCAGCCAGGGGAGACAGTGTGTGAAAGGCCCCTCACCGGGAAGAACTTAGTGGGGTCAAGGACCAGAAAGGAGAGCATCGTGGCCGGAGAGAGGGTGAGGTGACCAGCTCACTCAGGGAATCAGAGGACTCTGGATTTTATTCTCAGCAAATATTAATGCAAAGAAAAGTTCTAGTGAGGGAGGGACATTGGGGAACAGACTAAAATAATATTGACAGAGTTTTTAATCCTACGAGAAGAGTCTCACAACGTGCTGTTGATTTTACCAAGCAGACTAAGACACTCAATACTAATGTTCCCAATTTGGGTTTTAAAAAATGGTCAGGCTTGAACTGGAAAGTTCCCAGAATGAGACTTGCCTGGATGTCGTCAGAGGCTGTCCTTGGGCAGTTGAAGGTTTTCATTTTCCTCTTTGCATTCTTCAGACCCTTCCAAGTTTTCTAAAGTTGGCCATAAGTCATTTTTGTAATCAGGAAGGAAGACAAATGTTATCATTAAGATACACGCTCCTGGGTGCACCTGCAGGGTGGAGCAGACAAGGTCGGGAGGAGGCAGCGGGTCAGCCCAAATTCAAGGTCTTTGTGTTGGACCCTAGGGGGCCCTTACTGACAGAACCCTCCTCTTCCCAGTTTGAGGGCTGCTCGAAGGCCTACTCTCGCCTGGAGAACTTGAAGACACACCTTCGGTCCCACACCGGGGAGAAGCCGTATGTGTGCGAGCACGAGGGCTGCAACAAAGCCTTCTCCAACGCCTCGGACCGCGCCAAGCACCAGAACCGCACCCACTCCAATGAGGTACCGGGCCAGGGTGGGCGTGGGGGGGTGTGTGGGCCCCGCAGACACATGCATAAGTGCATCACTCTCAATCCTCGGCTTCTAGACATCTGTAGGCCATTCAGTAGCCAGGTGCCAGGCATCCCCCCCGCCCCCCTCACTGACCTGCTGTCCAGCTCAGCTCACAGCGGCAGCCCCGTCCCCACAGCCTGGACAGCTGCTGATGACATGTTCAAGCCTCCAGCGCTGCCTGGGCCTGCCGTGGCTGTCAGCCCCCTGCTGATGGGGCACAAAGCAGCCTCTGTCTCCCCAGGCAGCCAGAGCTCCTGGCAGGGCAGAAAGAGCCCAGGGAGGAAAGTTGGGCAGAAGCCCGTAGTGTCTGCTGTACCCGCCTTCCAGGCCCCACCAGCCTCTCAACTGCTGTGGCTCAGGTGGACTCAGGAAAGAATGTTTCTAAAAGTTCAGATCCATTTTGGACCCACAAGGGACTTGCTGCAGTGCTTGTCAGAAGTGCGAGGAATTCCCAAAGGCACCTGAACACCTCAGAGTGTCTAGAGACAAGAGCTAGTCTTGGAGAGGGGGGTGGTGTGTGTGTGTGTGTAGGTTGGTATGTGTGTTTGCAGGTATGTATGTGCATGTGGGGATATGTGTTGCTATGTGTGTGGAGGTGGATATATGCATTATGTGTGTGGGGTGTATGCATATGTGTTTGTAAGTTTGTGTACACATGTGGGTGTTTATATACGTGTATGTGTTCATGTGTGTGTGTGGATGTGGGGGAGTATGTCTATATGTGGATATCAGGTGTGTGTATAAAGCTCAGGATGGAGGTTTCAAAACCCTGGGTTTTCATTCCATTCCTGTGTGACTTTTACCCAATTTCTTTGCCTCTCTGAACCTGTCTTTCCTCATGAGAGAGATCAGGATATTAGCGCTGTCTCACAGATAAATAACGAGGTAATACACTCACTACTGATATTAAAAATTCCAGGGCCCTGATCGTTGATGATCATGCCAGGTACGGGGTGTCCCCTTCCTTCATAGTCTCTGATCCGTGTCCCCAGTTTGTGGTGGGGGCCTCCCTTAATCAATGCTTACCTGCATTCAGGCTAGGAGGGAGTCAGAGATGCTGCATCCAAGGCTGGCAGGGCCAGGCTCCTGCAGGCTGGGCTGAGATGGCTCCATCCAGGGGGACACTGGCTGCAAATGGGCCAAGTGCCTTCCAACTATGACAGCCAGGCTCTGTCAAAGGACACAGCATGGGCTTCAGGGAGTGCTCCCATTCAAAGTTTGTCTTCACATCCCATCTGTAACACAGGCCTCATCTCTTCCCAGAAACCCTACATCTGCAAGATCCCAGGCTGCACCAAGAGATATACGGACCCCAGTTCTCTCCGGAAGCACGTGAAAACGGTACACGGCCCAGATGCTCATGTCACCAAGAAGCAGCGCAATGACGTGCACCTCCGCGCCCCCCTGCTCAAGGAGAACGGGGACCACGAGGCCAGTGCCGAGCCCAGCAGGGGCTCCGAGGAGAGCGCGGAGGCCAGCAGCACCAGCCAGGCTGTGGAGGACTGCCTGCACGTCAAAGCCATCAAGACGGAGAGCTCCGGGGTAAGCAGAGCTGGGCAGCGGGGCCCCATCCATGCCCCCACCCCCAGGAGGCCAAGCCCAGAGGCATGAGGGCGATTCCACAGCCCAGTTGCAGCTGTGGGCTCTGTCCCGGGGCCCCTCTCCAGGAGCACAGTGATGTCCCTCCTCTCTCCAGCTTGACTTTCCTCCCTTCACCTTGGGCCTCCCATAGAAGCTGACATGATCTGCAAGGGGGCGGGGTGGTTCCTGGTGTCTGCCTCTCCACCCAGCGCCCAGGCGCCGCAGCTGCTCCCCGCTCCTCTGTCCTGTCTCTGCGTCCTTGCCCCTCTGGCCTCCACTCCTTTTGTTCTAACCACCTGTTCTTTGTCTCCACCTCTTTCTCCTGACTGTACCTCCCCTAAGGATAGACGGTACTGAGGTGAGCAGAGGAGCCGGGTGGGGATATGGGTGGGCTGGCGTCAGTGAGGGGGGCTCGGGTGCTTGGCCAGGCTCCTCGTGGGCCCAGGAAGGCGGGTTTGGATAGGCAGACCGCAGGCATTACAGGTGAGGCCATCGGAACCGGCAAAGGCCGGCAGCAGGAGTCACGCTTACAGGTGCAGAAGGAAGTGGTGGGGACCAAACCTGCATGAGGGACAGGGCAGAGTGGAGGTGTGAATCTGGGCTGCAGAGGAGGGAAGATCTGACCTACAGAAGGTCTGGAGTGCCAAGGTGAGGAATGTGGGTGGTGCTGGGGGCAGGAGAGAGCAGTGCAGCTTCCCAAGGAAAGGTCTGGAATTTGGGAGCATTCAGGCTAGGAGGGAGTCAGAGATGCTGCATCCAAGGTGAGCCTCATTTGGGCTCAGATCCCAGGTCAAGTGGAGGTAGCCTAGGTTCTGTGGGTTCCTCATGGTACGTGCGTGCCGTGAGCTCTCAGCCCACTTCACCCTGACTCAGAGGGAGGTCAGGCCTTTTGGGGTGGCCATTCAGGCAAGGAGCAAGGCTGTACCCAGGAATTCCACCCTCCGTGGTCAGTCTTTCCCTTTCTAACAGCCTGCCTCTGGCCTGATGAGCACGCACCAGGTCAGCAGGCTTCATCGCTCCTTGTTCATGGAGTGGCACGTCGCAGTTCTTGAGATGCTTCAGTTCCCTCTTTCGTGGCAACTTCACATGGCTGCGGCGGTCTCTGTGGGGCACAGCTTTGTAGTGTCCACAAGCATCCACACACTGGAAGGGCAACAGGCAGATCTCCAGCTTACACACTGGCTGGGAGAGCTTAGGAGCAGGGCAGGGGGCTGGGGGCTGGGTGGGAGTGGGTGCCTGACAATTAGTCGGTGCCTTCTACGTGCTGGGTGGTCTCCATCCATCCAGTAACTCTGTCCCAGAGGCAGTTCAGGGCCAGCTTCTAGTTGGGGAAGCCGATGTTCAGAGAGTGATGCTTTGCAAGCTCTCTCACGCACACAGCAGCTTCCTTCCCACTGCTGGGTGTGCAAGGGGGCGGCGTGGGTGCAGGGCCCGGCAGGTGCTGGCACCCTCTGAGTCTGTGCCTTCTCACCACGCCCCCTGCAGCTATGTCAGTCCAGCCCTGGGGCTCAGTCTTCCTGCAGCAGCGAGCCCTCTCCCCTGGGCACTGCCCCCAACAATGACAGCGGCGTGGAGTTGCCAGGCACAGGGCCGGGGAGCCTGGCCGACCTGACAGCTCTGGATGACATGCCGACAGGGGCTGACGCCTCTGCCCTGGCAGCGCCCTCTGCCGGTGGCCTGCAGCTGCGCAAACACATGACCGCCGTGCACAGGTTCGAGCAGCTCAAGAAGGAGAAGCTCAAGTCGCTCAAGGATTCCTGCTCATGGGCGGGGCCGGCTCCACACACCCGGAACTCCAAGCTGCCTCCCCTCCCGGGAAGTGGTAAGTGGAGGCCCTGGTCGTGCGGGTGAGGTGGGAGGGAACCCAAGGCAGCCCAGTGAGGTTCATGCCCATCAAGCACTTTGTGCCCTCTCACTGTGGGCCCACAATAGGATGGATCTTACGAGCCCATTGCACAGACAAGAAAGTTGAGACTCTGAGAGGTAAAGTGCTTCCCTCAGCAGAGCTGAGACTTCACCCAGGCTTGAGTGGCTCCAAAGCCCATGCTCCTTCAGCTATACCATGCTGTATCCCCGTAACCCCTAGAAACAGACAGATCCTGCTTACATCATCCTCTTCACGACCCATTCACTGGTTTATCAGGCACCTTCTATGGGTACCACTACAAGGCCCTCTGCAGGACAGCACTATATTCCCAGTCCCTCTAGTCAGAAGGCCATGCCGCCAGATGCAGGATGAGCCAAGTAGCACCGAGGGCAGAGCTCAAGGAAATGCTGTGCAGAACAGGGAGAAACCCGCCAGCTGGGGAAAAGCAGGGGGGCCTCGTGGAGAAGGCAGCCTTGTTGTCAGCCTCAGGAGGTGTTGGCCAGGCTTTAAGATGGAAGGAGTCTTCACTCAGCACTTATCAAATGTGGACTCTGCCAGGCTGGACACCAGGCACGCTGGGGCACTGAGCCTCTAGGCTGCCCTCAGGGACTGGCGGCCCAGTATGGACTGTAGGATTGAGTTATGGAGAGGTGGACGATGAGAGGTACCAGCCAGCTCTCTCTTCAAGAGATACGTTGAGAGAGGGAAGATTTGTTGCCCCAGCTGTTAAGGGAACTACTGGCAGATGGCCTGCAACTACAAAGATGACTTGGGGTGCTAATGCTAACTGCTGCCTCACCCAAGGTAACGCCTTCCTGGGGTGGCCCACATCAGCTCTGGCTGATCACCAGAGCTCCCTGTGAGATCAGCCAATGGCTGTCGATGGACCTGCGATGCAACTCTCTCCCCTGCCTTCTCTGCTGCCGCCCCTTCCTTCCCTGGCTGTGGCTCTCAGGACACTCCCTATAAACAGCCTGCCTAGTAAACTCAGTCCCAGGGGAGCCCAACTGGCAACACTCATCCATGGATGGTGAGGGTGCAGGGAGGCTGTGTTCTGTGCCATCCTGGGCTCTTCTCAGGAACCCAGTGTTATGGGAGAGACACATTCCATCCACAGCTGGAGAAACTGAGGATCGGACATAAGGAGAGCACAGGGTCAGCCCGGCAGCTACGATTGAGGTCAAGCCCCCTGACTTCCCCTAACCCACTCTAGCAATAAGTACCATTATTTATTCATTTACTGATCCTTCCTTAATCATTGGTTAAGTGCTTGCGGTGGGCCAGGCCCCACTCCAGGGTCCGGGCCCTGCAGACTTGGTACGGTCCAGGCAGGCGCAGCACCGCCCTCTGTCCCCAGAGCTGACCCCTCTCCTCTCCCACAGGCTCCATGTTGGAAAATTACAGCGGCAGTGGGGGCGGCGGGCCGGCGGGGCTGCTTCCCAACCCACGGCTGTCCGAGCTGTCCGCAAGCGAGGTGACCATGCTGAGCCACCTGCAGGAGCGCCGCGA